ATCAAACATTTAAAATCACCTGTTGTATAAAAAAATCAACGGAAGGAACGGCTTTGATTACTTGTCAAGTAAAGCATTAATGATTTGCGTTAGCACTAAATTCTTGTCCCTCGCCCAGCCCCACCCCTGCTTCCGCCACAGCTTGCAAAATCCCTCGCCTCACACCTTCCTACTATTTTCCCGGAAGATCTTTTCAAGAAATCGCCAAGACTCATGCAAGGAAACTGTTACTCGATTTTATATTTCTTGAACTCACCCATTGCTCGGAATCATTTCCACTCCTTGTTTGAATAATTCTTAATCCCTTTTCCGTACTTTCTGTTCTTATTTGTCATTCTTCTTGTCGGTTAACCTTGCTCGGGCACTGTTGCTGCAGCATGACCTGAAGAATAGATCGAGTCTCTGTAATTTTGAGGACCTTAAAGAGCATGGGGGCCTCTTTATCCAGCCTGGGAACGAACGGCTCGACCATTGGTCCGGGTCTCGGGGACATCCCGGAGAACTGCGTGGCTTGCGTTTTCTTATATTTGACTCCGCCGGAAATATGCAATTTAGCGCGGCTCAATCGAGCTTTCCGTGGCGCGGCGTCCTCTGATTCAGTATGGGAAACAAAGTTGCCCCCCAATTACCAAGATCTGCTCGATCTAATGCCTCCGGAAAGGTACCAGAATTTGTCCAAGAAGGATATATTTGCGCTGCTATCTCGACCAATACCATTTGATGATGGCAATAAGGTGGGTGTTCTTCAGGTTAGTTTTTATTGATTATAGCTCTGCACTTTCCTTCTGATGATTTGGGGTTAGGGTTCTCCCGGAACTCTGTTTCTAGAAACGGTATGTCGGGTTTGCGCAGTTCTCGGAATGCATTTGTTTGGGAATTTGGGGTACTTTTCTACCGAGTTTGGATAGATTAGGAGTCTGAATTTGTAACATTTAATCTTTGTACTGTGTATTCTGTTAAAATAATGCTCGAGTTTTACAGGAAGTATGGCTGGACAGGGTCACGGGCAGGGTTTGTATGTCCATATCGGCGAAAGCCATGGCGATTACTGGAATTGATGACAGGAGATACTGGAATTGGATTTCTACTGAGGAATCTAGGTTAGACTTCAGAAATCTGTCAGTCTTGGTGCTTGATCACATTCTTCGGATGGATAGGATATAATCGCGAACGATGAACTCATAGAGAGTTTTCTTGTATCTATCTTCGATTCTTTAAATCTACAATTCGCCATTGATTCTAAAAGTGATTTGCCTCAGTAGCAAATTGTGTGCTTCTTTTGTTGCTTGATCTTTTTGCATGCTTCTTCATCAAAGATGTTGTGCAGGACTGCAGGTGACCTGGGTAGAGTTTTGGAATGCTGAACTTGAATTGTAGGTTAGAACACCGGATTTTGAGGTTAGAATAGGGCGAATATGTAGGTTCGCAACAGGCGATTGGTGAATGTGCACGAAAATGTATGGATCTTGTTCTTTCACAAAAGTGAAGGCTTAAGATTATTATTTTTGCTTTCCAACGTACTCCTCGATTAGCAGGGCTGTAAGAGAACAGTGGATTAGTTGAATTAAATGGAAGAGGTTGTCTAATACTACTGGGATCTGGATATAACTAACTAGACTTGCAGCTCACTCTGGAAAAGTTGATTCTATTCATTGCGAATTGCTTTTAGCTGCTTGCAACTCTCCTACTGTGGTTTGACTGGGTCTCTTTGTATGCTTTATTTGCTTTATACAAGTCCATGGTTTCGAATTAATTAGGTTCCAAAATCAAATTATTTTTGTTTGTTACTGATGTTGGCAATAAATTTTCTTATGTTTAATGGCCTAGCAAGCTCAAAAATCCCTTTAGAAAATGCAAAGTACTGAAATAGTTTTAGGCTCTTAACTTTGGGAGTGTTAACTTGCTGGGGTGTTGCCGTGGCTCAAATTTGAGATCGAATGTACCAAAAATGACATTGAGCGATGCATAGAACTACTCAATTGAATTAGGCTTGCATCCTCTTGGAACAGTTCGCTATGATCTTCCCTTTTCACTTTGTGCTCTTAGATTTGGCCCCCGGTTAATGTAAAGCTCATTGGAATTAGTGAGACTATGTTGCAATCCTTCAACTTCGTAATTGTCTCGTGTGAACATTTTTTTATTTTCGTCAAAATTATTCTTGCTGATATCCCCATATATATATATATATATATATATATATTGGCCAATTCTATTCTTGAAAATATTAAAGCTGCTTTATTGCTCAAAATCAAAAGAGAAGATACACGTCATTGTCACGATCTAACGCAGACAAGCATCCTTCTCTGCTTAACCTTGGACATCTTGATTTGGATGAGTGTCAACTATTTTGCTTTTTATTTTTGCTAATTCAATTCTATGTCAGTTTTTCATAATTTCAAATGATTTTTTTAGGAAGATATATTCTATTTGATGTAGTTTTAATATGTTGACCTGATTTTGTGGTCATAAATTGAACTGATTCATGAAATTCTCAATCATGTTAAACAAAACCATCTACTCTATGAATCAAAGCCAATGTACTTGCGTATTAGATTAGTTTATGTACCCCTGAGCTCCACTTCACACGATATACTTTAACGAATTATTGAACTTTCTGTTTACATGATATTTTTGCTGTTTTTTTTTTTTTTTTTCAAATTGTAGGATTGCTAAATAATCTAGGTGCTGAAGCAACTTTATTTAATTTCCCCCTGTTGTATTATGTCAGCATCATGTTACTTCCTTATTTCTACCTTTTTTACTGCCTATTGTTTCTACTTTCTTAGAGATATTGTTTTACGTGCTGTTACTTTTTATCTTCAGGTTCCACACTGTGGCTTATTTGCAACAAATTTGGTGGTTTGAAGTTGATGGAGAGGTGAAATTTCCTTTTGCTGCTGATACTTACACTCTCTTCTTTAGGCTCCACCTTGGACGATTTTCCAAAAGGCTTGGGCGGCGCGTGTGCAATTATGAACACACGCATGGTTGGGATATAAAACCAGTAAGATTTGAGCTGTCTACTTCAGATGATCAGCAAGCATCATTCGAGTACAGTTTGGATGAAACTGAGCGCGACGATGCATATGGTAATCATAAGCGTGGAAACTGGGTTAATTACAAGGTAGGTGAATTTATTGTCAGTGGATCGCAACGTATAACAGAAGTTAGATTCTCTATGAAACAAATTGATTGCACACATTCCAAAGGTGGGCTTTGTGTAGATTCTGTATTCATTATACCTAGTGATTTGAAAGGGCGGAAGACAAGAGGTGTTTTGAAGTAGCCACAAGCAGAGTAGGGAGTTTTTGGTTTTTTTTAGTGTGGTCAGACATCTCAGAATGCTCTCTTGGAATCCACTATACAGCATATACTTCTGAGGAAAATTAAGAATGAGGACTGAGGAGGATGTCATCTGTTGCGGGGTTTTTTTGGCAGTTGGTATATCTCCTCTTTGGTCATGTAATAATGATTTGTTTTTGTAGTTGTTTCTATTGTCCATACTCCATACATGTCAGATGAAAAAAGGAAAACAAAAAAGGGGGGGAGAGGGGGGCTGGAATTGCGGTCATTATCTTTGCTTGCTCCAGTTGCCCTCTATGTAATCTGTTTTGTTACTTGGTTGTGATACAGGAATAGAATTTTACTCGGACGTTTTTCTGCCGCTTATAGTTTATTTACACTCGGTTTTGGAAACTTGATTATGATAAGGCAATTTTGTCTGCCCTTGTCGTACATAACGTCCGTCATATCAATGTTCCAAAGCTTTTAGTTGTGGAGGGGTTTGTATTTGTCATGCTCTAACAAATACACGTACTTGTGTTTTAGATTTTGAAAGGATGCAGCCGGTTGTCCAAAAATAAAACACAAGCGATGTCTGGCTTCAGGTTTCATGACGAAACCCGGATTCGATTCGATAATTGAATTCGTTTGTCAGCTGTAGTTTGACTGCCGCCGTAGCTCTATCCCTTGATGTACGGATTTAATTCACTTCGCTTCCGTTCTGCTCCTCTCTGAATTCTGGGTGTTTGTTATAATTTAACGGCTGCTGAAGAAATCGTGTCAGTAGAACCCTGGGGGCACGATGATAGGAATAGGAGGTGGTAGCCTGTGCGTATGGTCACTTGTTTCCTTGGCAGACTTGCTTTTTTGAGCTGCCTGTTCATAGTATTTTGTAGTTATTGGATTTCACAAATTCCATCCTCAAGTTACAAACATTATACGGTGTTGATTTCAACGTTTCATATTTACTAATAATCATTTCTGGACCATCCTGATGTAAGTGCCAGTCAGTGACGTAAATATATGCCACCCATGTCTCACTTCCTTGCTTTAGATTTATGGCCATGCCCATCTTATCACAACTCACAGCTACCCTTTCTTGCTTTCCAGTTGTTCAATACTTTACTCAGAAGACTTGCCTTCTAATTTTATTGGAACATATAAACATTTACTCTTCTTGTCCTATGTATAAGGTAGTTTCAATATGTTTCACACAGACTAAGGAAAACTTTAAATTTCATCAACTCTTATTTAAAATTTAATGACTTTCCAACTTTATTCCTATTTAATATACATTATACCTCATAAAAACAAAGTTAACACAATAATAAATGAGGGGTAAAATTGTACATCTATACAAAAACTCTCTCAGTACCCTATAAATAGGATTAAAAAATATTTTCTCTCTCTGCTCTATAAATAGGACCAGAGGAGTACTTCTAAACAAATATATGTTATGTTAAAAGATTAATAATACCTGTTGCCAAAACTGATGTATTTTAATGGGTTGTTTGAAATTTTTGTCTTGTTTACGCTAAGCACACTACATGTAGAGGGGTGTGTGTGTGTGTTGTTTGAAATTTTTGTCTTGTTTACGCTACGCACACTACATGTAGAGGTGTGTGTGTGTGTGTCCGACATTTTCCTGCAATATAGGATTTGGAATTTATTCTCCTATTCTTGTATTCTCTCAGCTCATTTATTGAATGGCAGACACACTCAAATTGTGGAAAACTCTCAACACGTCTGTAACAGTCTTGGTTGATGTCCTTCGTCTTCACCCCTCTACTCTGACGTTTCAACTTTAAAGCCTTCCCTCACGCCTCACGGTTTCACACCCCACAAGGTTAATATCTAGTAACTCGGATTCTTGAAACAGGAGACTAACTTTCAACTAGTAATTCGATCGTATTTTGCTCAAAAAAGCAAAGCCAGATCCCAATTTCATGCACTGATAAGGAGACAGAAGCAGAGGTGAAAATGAGGGCATATCGGCTTTCATATCTGAGACACTGACACCTCTCGTAGTTAACTGAGGTGAAATCACAGAAATTACCTATAAGTTCTCTTTGCCTTTCCTTCTATTATTGGTTCTCTCTATTGGAGCACAAGTCTTTCATTTCTTGGACACACTTTACCTGTTTTACGAATGTAACCATAATCACGACGGTTGCTCTTAGGGCCAACTGACAGCCTGCCTTCTCCTCATGCCACGAGTCCACGACTTCACTGCTTTTCCCTAATACGGTCTCTGCATTGAAATTTGAATTGGAGACAAGACCCTCAAATCTCACAACACTCTTGGCTATAAATTTTGGGGTTGGAACAGAAGGAAGAGACGGGGAAGTGAAGCCAGATATGGATTGGGATTGGAGCATAAGACCTTCTGTTCCTCAAGCGGAGTCCTCCTTTGGCTTCCTCTGTAACTTTAACTACACACCATATCCAGGTGAGGCACTAGTCTCTTGCTTCTAAAACATTGACCTTTAAGTTCAATACTCGATTTTGCATTTCTTTTTTCACTACTAGTCCTACTTCTTTTCTGCCTGTCACAAAATAGGAATTCTTCTTACGTAACGTTTGAAAGCCACATTTGGCGTTCCAGCTCGATACAATGATATCCAATATGTTAAATATAAGAAGCACTGTTGTCTTGTCTTGAAGATCTCATTCTTCACTGAGCAATTAACTTAATATATACCTCTTGCGTATTCAGGAATGGAAGTGAGACATCCAGCAATGAGAGAGAGTGAGAGACAAGGGTTGGCTCCGGGAATGGACAGAGTCAACTACGGAAAGCAAGAACAGAAGAAGAAGAAGCGATTAACGAGCAAGCAGCTTGAGTCATTGGAGAAGAGTTTCGAGAAGGAGAGGAAATTGGACGCAGATAGGAAGATGAAGCTTTCGAAGGAGTTAGGGCTTCAGCCTCGCCAGGTTGCGGTTTGGTTCCAAAACAGGAGGGCTAGGTGGAAGGCAAAGCAGCTTGAGCACTTGTATGATGCTCTCAAACAGGATTTTGATGCCATCTACAAGGAAAGACAGAAGCTTCAAGAAGAGGCATGACATCTCGTTCATTAATTTTATTGTTTAGATAAATTAGTGTTCATTTTTAATCTCATGGGTTCTGTGCAGGTTATGATATTAAAAGCCATGCTGAAAAAGCAAGAATCTTCTAGGACGCAGGCATCTGCAGATTATCTAGAAATCTGCGGAAGAAAGTAAATTCACGGGGAAGCCTTTGCTTTCTTCAAGCACAAGTTTATCATTCCAAATCTGTGAGAGAGGTCAAACCTGTGTCAGCTATTAATTTTAGCACAGGATTAAGTGAGAGAAGATGGTTCTTAGGATCATAAGTGGGTTGTGGCGTTAAAATATTTGCCCGGACCTGTTGGCAATGGTACGATGTGTAAGATGACTTGCTATGACAATGAGAGAGTTAAGAGGGCCATATTGCAGAAGTCGTGTTCAGTGAAATATATTGATTCTTGTTTTTCTCTCCTGTAAATGAAGACCTAAAGTATAAGGATGGTTAAAATATTATATGTTTCGGCAACTGATTCAGATCACTTTAACAACGGATTTTCTCTAATGTATATTTCAACAGAAGTGTCGAGAAAAAGAGGCGATTTCCACTTACGTAAAACCCTTGTGATTAGAAGACTTCTTTTACCATCGTTTTCATCTATGACTCTATGAGCAAGGTATATGAGGATATTATATATCACAGTACTTTAAGTGGTCTTTTTTTTTTTAATTCAATTATTTGACCCAATTATTTCAACCTCTGACCTTACTCAAGCGAAATTCCTTCTACAATTGACTATTATCGAATAGGTTGTAGCAAGGATGATAATTGGAGAGTGTGATGGACAAAATATGAATATTGAATAGGACGGAGGAAAATTAAACAAGAAGCAGCAGTTTACATGGAATAGCTCTCTCCGTTTTATCAAAAAAAAAAGTTTGCATGGAATAGTCGGCATATTTAAGGATCAAGGGGTTAAAGGTACAGTTCGATTTACAATAAGAAGATATTTTAAGGGATTACTACAAAAAAGTTTGGATGAAAATCAGAGCTAACAAGACACACATACACAAAGAGAGACATTATAAGTGGCAGAAGGATGTTGACAAGACACGGATAGCATACAGATCGATATAGCTATGGAAAATCAAACAATCAGCAGATTCACACTTGCATGGTCGGAACCCTAAAAAGGGTTTAAAGTTTAAACCTTAAGTACGGTGTATGTGGGTATTCAGAAATTTCCAGCTGCAAGTGGGCCTGAGGCCCGAATGATAGTGGGCTTGGGCTTGTGGGTCATCCGACGGGTAGAATTGGGCTGTACGGGAAAAGGGGTGAAAAGTCCACCGTCCAAGTCACTCACAAGAGTCGTGAGGCTCATCGGTTGCGACATCGTTGAAGCGTTAATCATGCTGCATCGGCGTCTTTAATTCCCCCTTCTTCTTTTTTTGGCTACTGACAGGATTTGATCTAATAAAAGAGGCTAATTTTTCATGACAAATTAAGGTTTAAGTCTCTGTCAGCATACATGTGCCTAAAAAAAAAAAAATTTCCTTTTTTGCCGTCAGATTTTGTGCGTTAAATTCTCTCTAGCTACCAGTCTCCATGTAGAAATATTCTCACTGTGCATTGTTTGGCATAAAGGACTTGTGTCCACTGTGAGCACACCTGCCCTCTCTGATTCCTGTTTTGCTCATTAGGAACAATCTAACAGATTTGAATCTATCAACCTAACAGACACAGGTGACGTGGCGGAATAAATGTCATTCCCCCACCAAAAAAAAAAAATCCTCTAACGTGCAGGAGACGCTGTTTTGAGTGTTTGTATCGTGTCCGATTTGGATGTTATTTCAGACATTGTTTCGGACAGGACACATACACAACATAGCCTCATGTTTTAAATATATAATTTTCGATTTAGCGCATCCACCTATCAGATCCCTTCTATATCTCGAATCTAATTTATAATGTAACCAGATCGTAGCCTGCAATTTTAAACTAATATACCTGGTAAACTTGGTGTTATTATGAGTATACGAACTAAATTAAATTAAACTCGGAAGTGCATGCAGGCCCATGCGTTCTGGAGCCTTGCCTGCGTTCCGATCAAATCACATTGCGGATCTGGAATTGGGGAAGACTTCTGACCAATAGGAACACGACGAGCACCTGGTGGGGCCCATCGCTAAAATGAACACCGCTTTTGCATTTCCTCGGACAGAGAAACTCCGGTACATTGTCGGGGCAAAAAATCCAATATATTTCTTTACAAAGAGTGACAATAAAACTAAAGACAGAAAAGAAAAAAAAAGAGTAACAATAAAATAAATCAGGAAAAAAATAATTTCAGCGTTTATCTGAGAAAATAAGGGCAAGAAGAAAAGATATCCTTCATAATGATATTTCAATATATTTCCTGTATATAGAGCTAATAGAAGAAATTAATTGATTGATTAAAAATATTGAAAGAGAATAAGATGTTAGTAATTGTAATGCATGAAAATCAATCTCCCGATCCAAAAAATTCCTCCCAAATTTTCATATCCTGCATCCAATGAAACGCCTATTAAGTAATTACTCACGTGATATATGTGTGCATTTATATTACTCGCATATTTAGGCTCACCGAGTCCGCTTACCATATGTGACTATTGAGCAAAGCGTGAACTTCACGTTAAGATATTGATAAGTACGGATTGAGTCATAAAATAATCCGTGACATATTTATTTAAAGCTCCGATTAAATTATTTGCGACCAGGCCTTCAACATTAATTTAGTATTGCGCCAGGCAACAATCATTGAGGGTTGTTCAAGCTCCTGAATTTAGTTTAGTTGTCATGTTATTGGGCATTATTAATTAATGATCCATTATTATGAGGAGAAAGCATCCCTTTAATTCCCCCTCCTAACAAATTACTACTACCTCCGGTCCTTAATATAAGACCCTGTTTGACTTTTATTTTGGTCATAAATATAAGACTCCAATCCACTTTGTTTCTCATATTTATCCTTTTTTTTCAAAGTAGTTATTCTAATAATGATAGTTCTAATCAAGACACTTGATTAGCAAGGATATTTCAGGAAATACAACACCTATTTAGGACAAATAACTAACTAACTTACTTCCTTAATCTCCTCAAATTAGTCAACTGACTCTTATAATTAGGACCGGAGGTAATATTATAATTAGTATTATAATTATAATTAGTTTATTCATTATGAGGCTCGTCTCACTTGAATAATCGTGTTTAATTTTATTATTTTAACAGAGAGATCTAGATAATACAGTACTTTGATTGTTTTATTTGATCTGAGTCGATGCTCTGACCATGTGGTGGGTCATCAATCATTCAGTTACGTATTTCGAATGGGGGCTTTCAAACAAGTAATTAACGAAGGTGACAATTTTTTGTAATTAAATAAAATTCGTGGCGTGCTGTTAATTGAATGGTGTCGATTTTTAATGTGAGTTGGAATTAGTCGTTGGATGAGAATGAGAGGTCGATGTTGAATCAAAAGAATCTGATTCCAATAATGAAGTTTACTTTAATTTAATTCATGCACCAGTTAAGATGGTCCAGTACGCATTTCTGGGTGTAAATTAGCGGTCCAATGTCGAAATCAAGTTTTCTTTTATTTTAAATTTCTGTGGCCTGAACAATTTATCAACACAATATATATATATATATATATATATATATATATATAAGTGCCATTCGAAACGTGGCCATTTTCAATCTCACAAATCGCTTATCATGATCACAAACCGACTCCTATCCGCGTCAGATACTCCTCCCATCCTTATGCTGTGCATCTCAGAAAAAATATATATGTGGTGCTTATTATTAAAAAAAATTATAATAAACGGTGCTTATTATAAGTAAATGGTAATTACATTTTTGTTAATATTTTTTGGGAGAGTTATTATGAGATTCCAAGGATAATAATTAATGCGTAGATCAGTTGTAACACTTTTTCAGAAATAATACTGCTATTTAATAACAAAAAGTTAATGCACGAAAATAAAAGTGCCTGAACAAATGAGAATAGCATGAGAAATAAAAATGCAATATAAGAAATTTGATGAAATGAGGGCGATGTTTAAAATTATGTGTACGCCCTTCCTAATCTTAAAAATTAAGTCAAAATTAAGCCAATTTTTTTCTAAATTATCCCCATAGATACTCTTTTAACTATAATCAAGTAAGTGAGAGAGGGAGGATATTAAGAAAGATGATTATAGTGTTTGAGGAAAAACATATCATATTTCTTATAATTAACTAACTTATCTAACTTTTTTAATCTAATCAAATTAGTTAAATATATCTTATATTAAATATGAGTAATATTTAGGATTAGGAAGAGCGCACACATAATTAAATATAAAAACATCAAATCGCTTAACCCATTATTATCAGCAGGGCGTGATCCATGTGTAAAGGGTGGGTCGCTGCCGCCCAAAAATCCAGACCCCTGTGTGAACACCTGATGCCAAATTCAACGACAAATATCTTGTAAAACCCCCCCGGGGGCTGAAAAAACAAAAACAAAAACAGGAATTTTATTTCCTCAATAATAACATTACTGTTGAGGAAACAAAATTATTTGATGTTCACAGTACTACATTTAATACTTAACATAATAGCAAAACAACTAATTTAAAAATTTCAAGGAAAAAAAATAATTTAAAAAACTATTTAAGTTGATTATTTATCATAAATATGTATTAGTCTTCATAAAATATCATTTTTTAGTGATATGCGTTGGATAATTAAAATTATCTCCCAGTATAACTCCTTTGCAATCAGTAAGAATGTTTTGAGAAAAAAAAAGGTAGATTGATGACTTACATGTAGGATCAAATATAACTTCAGGCCACTATGTCGACACTTTTTTCTTTTTCTTTTTTTTTTCTTTTTGTTTGTTGCCATTCGCTACGTGGACGCTTAAGCGTAGTTGGGCGATATAGGGTGAAGAAATTAAATTAGTTTGCAGCCGTACATATCAGGTTCGATATTTGGAAAATGAGCTGCCAAGAGAGTGCTCAGTAACTGACTCGCTTTTTTATCTCGTGAAAGGATCGGCAGGGAGAGACGGAAAGGACATTTTAAGCAGTTGATCAATTATGAATATTAGTTTAGTCGCTGACAGGGTATGATATCATGCCACAGTTCATATGATCAGTCTGATTGGTGGGATAAAACGTGAAATGTTTATTGTGGTAAAAATATGACTACATATAGAATTTATATCTTAAAATTATACTCTGCCAATTCTTCTATTGTCTGTCTTTGACTTCTTGTCTATTTATAAAACTTATTTCAGAAGCCCTCCACAATCTTTAATACAAGCTGTTATAAAATGCCTGAATCACTTATCAAATTATTTTCAAGGATGTCCTTTATAATTATAACCGACCGGGAAAAAGAAAAGAAAACATTAACTACTAACCAATTTTAATTATTTTTATCGATACGTGCGACTAGTTAAAAAAAAACCAACAAATAGGTGCAAAGAAAATATGAACTAGTTCTAATACTTATCATCAAAAGTTTTTTTACTAATATTATGTAAATAGTAAACAAATTAGCAAAATCCTATGCAACAAAAAATTATTTACTAAGATATTACATTTAAAATTGTTCATGTTAAGAATAAGTTTGAGATTGTGAGGAATTCGTTCATGTCAAGATGAAGTTTAGCTTGAGAAAAGTAATAGGATGATGTGGCAAGATGCAAAGCTAAACTTCATCTTGATATGAACAAGTTTCTCACAATTTCAAACTTGTTCTTAATATAAACAATTTTAAGTGTAGTATTTTGATAAAACTGTGTAGGGTTTTGGTAATTATTTTTTTACTGTTTACAATATCTTAGTTAAAATGCTTATAATTAAATTTGAACAGTTTAAATTTAATATGAATAACTTAAGATTTAATTTTTTATATTTTTATTTTTTTAAATTTTTTCTTTTGATTGATACATGATTCAAAATAAATATAATAAATCATTTTTTTTTAAAAAAATAATTTTTATTTAAAAATTATCAATAAAAAATTTTAAATTTAAACTATCAAAACTGCCTTTAAATAACATAAATTTCATTAATGAGTCTCCTCTGCTATTGAAACTGATTCCAAGAAAACATAGGCAATCTTGTGAAAGTAAAATGGGAACAAAATTTCTTTGCTAGTGGCAGCCGAGTATTATTTCGTCACTGTGACTTGACAACACATAAGTACGAGATCGCAATTGGCCATGCCGTACTCATTTACTTCTTGTCCTTACTTGGTCCTTTCTCGGAAGCCGCCAGCTGGGACAGCGATGCAACAAGCTCGGGAGGAATCCAAGTAAACAAAAAACAAAAAAAGAAAAAAAGAAAAGAAACTCGGGAGAAATCATCTCTTGTCTGCCCCCCTCTAAGCGAAAATTGAAAAAAAAAAAGTTACTAAATATAAAAAAAAAATGTTAAAATTTTTTTATTATCATTTATAAATTTAGTGTTATTAATATTAAATAAAAATATTGTTATTAAATCTGATTTAAAATTTAGTAATTTTTAGTTTTTTTTAGTCATTTTCATCTCTGTAAATCCGCTCTCCTTTTCCAACTCTCTAAGTCTAACCCTGTTGTTACTGTTTTAAATTTGGGAATTTATAAGTTTTAATTAAACTTTTTTAGTTGGTCTCAATATTTAATTCAATTTTTAATTTTACTCTTAATTATTTATTTTTTCCTATTTGTCATACTTTCTCCCATCACTTTCTCTATACATTTTTCTTATCCTTTTTCTTATTTATTACAAGAACATATTTAAAAATAAAAGTATATTTTAAATATTTTAATAATTTTAATTATTTTAAATTATTTTTCATTATCCACAAATCATAAAAATATTTCTATAATTTTATTTTAAAAATACATAAATAAATTTAAATTGAAAGGGAGTGGAGGAGACGTAGAGAAGAAGGGCACCGGGCGGAAGACGATTCCAACCTTGGAATGCTTTTTCAGGAGTCAAGAGAATTTAATTTAATTAATGCTCCGATGTATTAACCCCGATATCCTTGACCTCACCACGTGCCTCGCCTCTCTGCCGTTGGCCTATATGAAGATGCAAGATCTGATCAACATTTGTTTAATCGCCCTTCCTATTTCCTTAATCAATCCGAAGGTAAGGTCAAGGAAACAACAACAACGACAATAGCAATAATCAATCCAGAGATCTAAAGACGAAGCCTGTTTTACCCATACAAATTCTCTTTCCCAAATGCTTTGCTTTAGGCCGAAAAGGGACTTTAAATAAGAAACGCCTTTTATACTGTCACTGCACAAGCACTAATAAATTATCAAACACTTTGCATGATCTGCATACTTTTGAAGGCATAAGCATCAGATGTTTGAGATACGCAAGGCCGTAGACATTAACTTTTCACTTTTTTTTATTTTTTCTAATTTTTAAGCTGGAAACAGAATACAATAATGAGGAAGGTGTTAGCCAGTAGCCAACACTCAACCACCAAACTAATCTCCACTCAGAAGCTGGTCAATTAGGCAATGACCAACAATCTTACCTAATACTCAATCTGCAGAATAATAAAATTTTCACACAAGGGAAGACGCAGAGTGCGGCCTTATTGCTGGGGAACAATCAAGAAGCTTCCGTACATGATGGTCAATTAGGAATTGACCAACAGTTCTGAGCCAACACACATAATCTACAAACGAATTTTCACACGAGACAAGGGCCAATGTGGTCCTTGTCACTTGCATATGACCAAGGATCTTCCATGATGGTCAGCTCGACGTTGACCAACATTCCCCAGTGCTCTTCTTATCTTTCCATGAATTACAAGGTCTTCACTATACCCTCTTCATTCTTTACATGTCATTGACTGCTACAGAACCCCAGAAATCCCATAAATTCATGGTTGCGTATCATTCGAATGCTACTTTCAGCGCCAACCACGCCTGGGGAGAGAGGAAAAAAGGAGGGTCCATGTCAGTATAAGTTGAGACGTTTCAGAAATATGTGAGCAAGATGTTAGTTGGTTTGCAGTACCCATGGTTATAGCGCTGGCAACAATGACGCCAGAGAGAATGAATATGATAAGGGATGCCCTCCTAAGTATTGCTATCAATTTTCTCACCACGAATTGCCCCCAGAAGCCAGCCAAAATAGACACTGATATCAGGTATAACGCTGCAAAACATGTACAGAACAGAGGCCCAACTCCTCCATAAAAATTCAAATATTGGACTTTAATTTGGAACAAAAATTAACATACATCAGGACGTGTCCATGTGCATTTAGTAACAGCTGTGAGATTAGGGATGAAACTTTAATCCATTGTCCTTCTTAAGACCAAGTAGAGTTGAGAATTGAATGCAAATTACCGTAGGGAATGGGGAACCTCTTGAGAAGGTAAAATTCCACCACCGACAAAGATGAAGAGAACATCATGACAAACGTTGCTGTTGCACTCGCAACCTGTGATACAGATACCATATAAGCCTCAGTTAATCATTTAAAGGCTTGAGAAGAGCTTGAAGGACATGTGATCGCCCTCTGTGTACCTGGGGGATGACGCCAATCTCAAGAAGAAGAGGGCCCAAAATGAAGCCACCTCCAGAACCAAGAAGGCCTCCCACGGTACCCCCTAAGATGCCACACAGTGCGCAGAACGCGAGGTTAAGAGCAGTCCATTCTATTGAAGCCTGACTCATGGATTCCGGGTTGCCTGTAGTTATCCTCTGTCTGTAATCCTTGTACAGCTTCACTGCTTCATACCCAAACACCACAAGTGCGATGGGAAACTGGAGTATCAAGAGAAAAAAAAAGTTATTGGTGATTTTGTCCCGACCAATACCCCACAACCTAACAAGTCAAATAGCACATGAGATGTGAATGTGTCCTGCCATCTAACCTGTAGGCAGAAAAGCACCCAGTACCATGCACTGCACGCCTTCACTTCATTCTGCACAATGGACCAATATCAAATACACACACACACATAAAAAGTTTTAGCCCAAATATGAAATTGAATAGTGTACGTGGAAATAACAGAGAGGCTTGCCTTGACGACTTGAAGCAACAGGAAAGAAACCCACACAATCATTAGCACCAAAATCCTTTTCCACCTAAGGTTGAAGCAGAGAATTTGCTGAAGGATTTAAGCGAAAAATGAGTCAAATGAGTGATAAGTTTGTGCCGCCTATAAATTAAGAAACAACAAAATTCAGAAGAGCGCACAGAACAATTACAGACCATGGGTGATTTCTCTTCTTTGGGTATTAACGGTTCATATTCCGTGTCGACTAGAACTGCATGGATTTCAAGAGATTCCGTCACAGATCAGAGAAAGCTATTAAAGGCGCATGGCAATCAGCAGCATACATCAGCCGGACACTGTGCAAAACAGTAATTATATGTGCAATAATTATAGCGCTTTTTCTCATTTTGCTTTTACTTCAATGATTGGTTGGGTGAGACAATATTTTGTGGGGCTTTACAAAATAGATGCATTAAGCAAATCCGAAAATGAATCAGTGTCCAGCTGTCAGTTGAAGTACGGTTGTCTTACGTTCTCCACGAGAATTCACCATGGTCGCCTGTTGCTTGGCAATTTCTTTCTGCAGTGAGGGCAAAAGACCAAAAAAAAAAAAAAAGAGGAAACGAGGATGAGTTGCCGTCACTAAAGCCTCTGTCACATGTACATATAAATGCATGTACGTGTCTATGTACATGTGTGCATACAGACAAATGAAGAACTAAACTTGTTTAACAAAAATAGAAAATTGAAAAAAAAAAAAAAACACTGACCTTCAGAATAGTTTCTTCCTTCCACATCTCGATTCCCTTAAAGAAAGATCTGGATGAAGTTCCTGCGACCAAACAAAAATCGGGGGAAGAAAAAAAAAAAACGAAAAAGAATATTGGGTCAGCAGAGATTTTGAGGCAAAAAAGCCGTCCAATTCAATTCAAAGCATCTAAGGAGTTTGAGTAAGAACAAAATCGGCCAGACACCTATGAAGAGGATAATGATGAGAACAGTGATGAGCCAATAGGGGAAGACAACGCTGAGGGCGACGCCCACAGTGATTCCAAGCATAAGCATGGGCTGGAATATAAGGGCCAGATCATAGTCCAATATGGGAACTTCTTTCGTCGGATGTGGCACTCTCAGATTATACCAAACTGACGATGCCGATGCCCCCATTATCATACCTGCAGCAAACCCAGCGGCAAAATTAATTACAGCCCAAAGCACCAACTTGAAAAGTAGTGAGATGGTTAAAATCAGTCTAAAGGAAGTACGAAGTCTTCAATTTTTTCTTTAAAAAAAGGAAACAGAAACGTCGTCTCCGAGAAAATGGTGAGAAAAAAAAATTGGGGAATCGTGGGTTCGCCGTTTGTAGATTAAGTAGCATGTCAGCTTCAGCATTAGCAAAAGAGAAACATAAAACAGAATTACAGAGACACACGACAAGGAAGACTGAAAATTACATTTGGAGAGAGCAGCCGCCGATTTGGTGTCGAATCCAAGAAGCAGAGTGAGCATGGGAACGAAAATGCCTCCCCCGCCCACCCCGCCCACGGTTCCACATGCCGAGCCTAGGAATCCAATCAACGTCGCCAACGCAAGCCTCCAACTCGCCTTCAATTCCTGCACTCACAGGTTCGAATTAATCAACGCTATCCTGTATGCGTGTGTATGTATATATATAGTCTAGGAGTCTACATATAATAACCAGAATAATTATCTAGCTGCGAGGAGAGAAAGAGGGACATACGGGCCAAACTCGCTCGGTTTCGGATCCGTAGCGCGCATGGGATTGAAAGGAAAGGGGATTAGAGGAAGAAAGAGAAAAGGGTGATGGTTGATGGATGATGAGAAACGCAGATAGGATAGCAGCAGAGAAGGCGGAAAGAAGGTAGAAGACGAATCTTGTTGTGGCTATAGGCATGGCGACCAAGGAATGTGGCGAAGAATGAATGATTTACGGAGAATATAGAGGAGCTATCCCTTCGGCCCAAGTGATATTTAACGGCGACGAAGCTGCTTCTCTCACATGCATATCTCTCACAGGCTTACTGGTATAGTTTTATTTTTCACGGCCCTGGCCCCTCGTTGCCGCCTCGCCCAATTCTAAATCACCTGCACGCAACGTGTCCTTTTGTTGTTGGACAAATCAAACCCAATCACTCCACGGGCCATATTTGTTAATAAAGCAGAATTGTTAGTTTCCGAGTTTGTTTCTTTTGCGGCCGAAATGAGTATTTTTTTAATATGGACCTCCAATTTCACGAAGGGTTTGGTAGTGACTTTCCTTACAGTTTACACTTTTCTTTGGTCAGTCCATCTTTATCTTTTAATTCAGCAAGTTTTGTTTTCGATTTTCAGTCAGCTTTGGAGCCTGGAGTATCTTCCCAAGTCCTTTCTAAACTCGTTTCCCTCCTTTTTCCCCCAAACAAAATTGGTTTCCCCCGGCAACAAATTAATACAGAAAGAGTGCAGACGATTTCGGAAGGTCTTCGCGTCTTGGGGTCAAGTAAGTATAGTGGCTCCAGTGGAGTTTTATAACCCAAACGGTATTAAGAATATTTCTGAAATTTTTTTAAAAATATGAGTTTATGAGGTTAAACTTTGCATGAAAACATATAATGAATACATGAATTATAAGAGAGGGGAGAGAGAGAGAGAGAGAGAGCAGTGGCCCGCTTTGAAGCATATCCATTGCCTTTTCTCTTCTTGACGAATTCATGCCACGGTGTTGTGTCCTTTTCTCCACGAAAATTTGTTTCGTCCCTCATTTATGTGCGCCATTTTCCCGTCTTTTGGGCAGATTTTCGTTTTTGTTTTGTTTTTTTTTTTTTTGCCGGGATTCAACGCGGATTTCGTTTTAGCTTTTTTTTTTCTTCTGTTTTCTAGCATTATATTGTTTCCACTTCTAATTCAGGATGCAGGTGAAAGAAAACAAGAAAAAACTAACTCACCATTATACACACAGCCCTTGAAGTGGGAAGACTTGGAAACAAGTCAAGTGGTCATTTTACATAATCAATAGAATACCTTTAACTTTTTTTTCTTTTTCTTTTTTTTTTAAAAAAAGAGAGGCTAGAAGTAGGATCTGGTAATATTAGAAACTGATTCATTATTACAGAATAATTGAAAATCAAATTTTCAGCGCTCAGCTTAAATAATGAGAACGCCTATGACTCACATTAACCTTGAGTTGTCCTTCTAATTTCTCTTTCAACTCTAAAATTATGCTTAAAGGACACCGTTCGCATTCTCAAATCACTTCCTATAAAAGAAAGATGTGAGACAACAGTTACCATTTCTATAGCAGCAGTGTCATTTGATAAAAAGGCAATGGCCCACTGGCGCCTCTATGCATGGAGAACAAAATACACAGGCACATTAATATGGATCACGTGGCCCTTTGAACCAAAATTAACACTAATGATGTTTAAGGTGAGGACAAGCTTTGCAGAAATGTTATTTTGGATCGATTGAACGATATTAACGTCGCAAAAGTACGACTATTAGAAGCAAATCACGAAACAAGATCGCTGACTTCATACCACAACCGAGTTCGCTTTAAATAGAACAGTCTTTTCTGTCAAAGTGTCGTCCGAATGCCAAAAAAGGCCAAAAGGGACACTCCATTATAACGTTGGGATTTGAGTTTGAGCCGGAAAGGCATCAGTGACCCTGCATTTGGGCTACCTTTTTAAATTCCGGTGGGTGGATATTCACTGTCTATTGTCAAAAACATGGCTATAATTAATTATATTATACATGTGGGACAAGCGATGATTAATTGATTATAATATTATAGAACATATCAGCTCCTCCGTGTTTGGCGGCTACAAGATTTAGGCCAGAAAAAAGTGCATGTGTGCTGCATCCTCACCAACCCCCCCCCCCCCAAAAAGGGAAACTTCTGCTCCGTTTAACCCCAACTTGTGTGAATCGCCGATTAATTGCACTGTCATTTTTCATCCGTCTACTGTCTCAATTGTGCCTTAGAGTTTTCTTGCACAATAAGTTATTGCCGCTGGCACTAAAACCACGTTTTCAACACCAGCTATGATTCAGGACGTGATTTGGACAAATTAAAATTAATTGAGTGGACTTTATGTCCCCATCCAAGTTAATTATTAAAAGTTAAAACATAGTCAAAATGTATGAATTGATAAATTAAGTGAAACAAAAACCAAACATGATTGATCCAGCACTACGATGAAACGCGGCCTTGCTGGTTCCTTGTATCCGGCCTGATCAGAGTTTGGCGCATTCGATGATGGTCTTTCACGTCCCGAATGATTGAATCAAATGAACAGATTTCAACAGCCGTAATCATAAAAATAAAAAGAAACGGGGCCATGGGGGTAATATAAATAAATACCACCTAGGCTTTGGATCTCGGGTCTTTGCCTGGTAGGGTAGGCTGAGAATCTTACGCACAGGCGGCACCACGAGACCATGAATTTACAATTTTGAAAGTGAGTTGGCAGATTCGCAGGTCTATGGGATCAAATATTAAATAGAGAGAATTATAATAAAATCGTAAAAAAATAATTATTAATAACAACTCATAAGATTTGTTTTGTAATTATTTTTTTTATTAGAATCTTATTGTAATTCTCTACATGAAATATATATTAATCCGTTCAGATTATATACTTGGTCAATCAGACCCATGAGGAAAATAAAGACCGAGGTATGGGATTAACGTCTTTTCTCTTGGAATGATAGAAATCATATAAAGGAAATATTGCAATCGCCGTTTTTCTGTGAATATTTCAAAAATTTCACAAAAAAATGTCATCATAAATAGCATCATCACCCGGTGTTCTAATTTTTCTGGTTTTGAAAAAAAATAAAAAGAATTAGCCGTAACTTAACTACATAGCTTCTACATTATTTCTCGTGCTTTTACCCCAGTAACAGTGCATTGTCGTTATTTCTAACCACTGAGTGTTAACTCCTGAATCCTGATGCCTAGTGTACACGTGAAGCAAAAAGGTATCGTCAATTTATTTATAAGCGTGTTATATTTAAAGAGTTGCAGAGTCTTTTTTATAGCATGAAATTCATAAATAATTATGATCTTTACATTTCTATTTTGTCACACTTTGACATGCTATTTTAGGTTATTAAGGAATTGGTGTTTTTCCCATGTAAAAGAGAAGCAAATCTCATTCTCCTGGTGGGTGAATGGACCTCGTGATTATTACCAAGGAAATACAATAATATTCAGTTTTGCTTGATTATTTAATATCTCCCCGATGTAATTATAATTTGTATAAATAATTAAATGTCATGTTTTTAAAATTAGTTATTTATTTTGTGCTGAGATAGTGCCTAGAATTTTAAAAACTCAGATATCTTGATAAGAGATATTTCTATTATTTCAGCATAAAATAAAATACTAATTTTATGTGATGAGATATTTATGTCTAAATTCCCCCTGCTTTTTAGAATTAAAATTGATAAATTTTTAAATTTCATGCTGGCAAGTAAATATTTTCGTAACTTCAATTCCATACCCAAATATGACCGTGCCAAATGGCCAACAGGGTAAGGACGAAGGAACAAGGCTTCCTGCGATCATATACAGCAAGAAACAAGTTCCAGGAACTGACATCTCATCTTAAATTAGTGGTAAATATTTACACTAATAATTGCCTTCTAAAAGTATTTTCTGCTTCAAAAAATAAATAAAAATAATAATGAAATTTAACTCCTAGATCCGCCATCAATCAATCCAATTTGATATTACTGTATTTGTCACGTTCTCATTAATTTGACAATGGACTTGTTTGGTTTCTCTGGTGTTCAATACATTCAGAACAGAGAGCCAGAGAGCCGTATGGCAGTGAACTACGATAGCGGAAGTGGACCATTAGGATGCCAATTCCTATTTGTAATTGTCTGCTAAGCTGTCATCACGCCTGTCCTTTCTTCCCCCCCCCCCCTATTTTGTCTCATTTCAAGTGAAAAATGCTTTCTTCCCCTCTTCCATATTTCATACGAATGGGAAAGGGAAAATTGCAGCACTCAAAATATCAGGAAAAATAAAATATTCATGAGATCGATGATCATGAAGTGTGCCATTTCTCCCTAACCACTCATTGACCGGTTTACGCATGATCCAGTTTAGCCACCTTTTTTAAATAGAAGACAAAAAAAAAAAAGCATTGGTCACTCCATGATACAATTCATGTTATACTGAATACATATATAATTTTTAATTAAATTATATATTCATTGTACTTTTTAAATAAAATTTATATGACGAATATCAAAAAACAACATGCGTAAACGGGTGAAGTCCCATTCCAAATACGAAATATCCAGCTGCTATACGGAGTGACGAGAATGACAAGCTTGAAAGTGGGAATATTATGAGAGGTCCAGTCATTTTCCTTCTGGACTCAACAAGGCCCATGAAGATGGGCTCTTCATGGGCCCATGTTATTTTTATCCTACATCATCGTCACCAATCATTTAGTTAATTAATTATGATCGATGGCTCAGAAAACTAAAGACTAGTCTAGCACTGAGAAAACGGATTGAGCTGGCCTTTTAGGGTCCCGGGCTTAAAGCCAGACTTCTAAAAAACACCCCTAAAGTCTGGCCCTTAAACTCGCAGGTTAAGACCAACCCCGCGGGTTTTAAGCTTGTTTAGTAAAAAATCATTATTTTTTAGATATTTTAAAAAAAGGACATAAAATAATAAAATTCATAATTAAAAATATAAACTTATCAAAATTAGGGTATAAACACAAACGTTGTCAGCACATAAACTTGTCAAAATCAAGTTACAATTACAAATATAACTTCCAGTCTTTAATATAAGACATGTTTAACTAATTTGATTAGATTAAGAAGGTTAGATAAGTTAGTTAATTATAAGAAAAGTGACACATTTTTCTTAAAACACCATAATCATTTTTCTTAATACTCCATTTCCCTCTTCTAATTGATTATGGTTGAGAGAGTATCTATAAGAGTAATTTAGAAAAAATTAATAAATATGAGAAATAGGTCTTACATTTAGAACAAAAAACAATTCAAG